CAGTGTTAAGTAGCCATACAAACAATCCCCCCCCCCCAAATAAAATTCTTCTGAACATGTCCAAATAAAATCTGTGACAGACCTTCAGAAATCCTGGAGAACTATAACCCAAGCCCACTCTTAAAAAATACAATAAAGACTGGCTGCCTGGAATGAAAATAAAAAGAAATGAAGGAGTATTGCACAGTACTGTACATGATTTTACAGTTATCCAGTCCTCCTTTTTTTTTTTATTCCATGGGAGCATGGATAACTTTGATTAGAACTTGGATCCCATCTTTATTTTTCTTTTAGTGTTTTTTTTATGAACACTAATATATATGGCACTAGTGAAATGAAGACTGACCCTTTATTGAAGTCTGTGGGATAAGATTTTTGTGCAAATTGATAAAGTGCTTACATTTTCTCTGAGTCTCCTTAACTGGTCTGTAACAGGGCTGGATGCTCTTGTAGTTTGCATGGATCTTCTTCATACTGAAACAAAGTAAGAAACGCTCTTGTATTTCATAAATAATTCATGCACTTCAGTGAAAAATAAAACCTGACCTGTCCACTTGACTAAGTTTTCACTGTATTCAGTACACTTTTAATGGTACCTTTCTAAGGGGGAAAAAGTATGATTGTCTCAACATTGCCCTGCTGACTGACCTCAACACCCAGACCAACGAAGAAAGCCTGGAGGTTATCATCAAGAACCTCACTCAGTCTGGCATCACCGTGCAGTTCTTGTAAGGTTCAAACATAAACATTCACAATATTTTATTACTTTATATGATACTTAAGATGATGAAAATATTAATATTTCTATGTGATAATCAATATTTTGATGATAACTGGTAAAAATGCAGAGTGCAGGAGAGGCTTATCAAACTGAATTGTAAAGCTGATTGAAGCAGATTTCATGATATTTGGTTACTTTTATCAATCTTTTAGTTTTTTTCTTGATGTAACTGTAATCTTTGGATGTCCAGTTTGCCTTTCCCTGTGGAAGAGGATAAGGAGGGTCAAGGGGATTCAGAAAGAAGAGATCCCGGTCACCCGGGGACAGGCAAAGGTCTGTCCAGGGAGCAGAAGAAAAACAAGGAATTGGTGAAAGAGATGATGCTGAGCCTGGATGTGGAGGATGGCCTGGATGAAATTCACACCTTCAGGTTAGTGGACTTCCTGTTACACTTTTGTTCTCTGGAATGGATTAATGTTCTTTGTAAATTAGGATGAACTTGATTTTTGGTGTCTTAGATTACTTGTTTTTGCCAGGTGAGTGTGCACACAGAGTAATGAGGAGCTTGCTAATCAGACTGTAAGGGAGGGGAAAGTAGAAAAAATTGCATCTATAAGATGGAGAGAAAATGTTATCATACTGTATCAATCAAGAGGATCTCTGTGAAGGGGGTGCAGGAAGTAACCAAAGTCTTGTGAATGCTTTTTTAAAAGCAGTTATCAAGATTTCTGGAAAACCAAAAAAAAAAAAATTAACATTTTCTAAAAATTAAGCGGAAAAACAACATTACCTTCAACATTTAGTATCTCCACCTGCGAAATGCGCTTTCAGTTTCAGTGCGAGAAATATCAAATTAAACATTTCTGTTCTTGCTGTATGTGGTCATTTACAAACATTCAGCCAGTTCTTGCCCAATACTTAAAAAATTGCCCTCATTCCCATTTTCCTGCAATGTATCATGTAGTGGAAGTCTTTAAAAAAAAATACATTCTAGAGATGGCTCCCTTAATTGAATCAGTTTTGGTACCAAGCATCGTGAAGTACTTTCAGTATTGAGTCACCAATGTCTGCTCTGTTTCTAATGTTGGGAAAAGGAACATTCCTTCCTTAGATTTTCAGAGTGTTGTTTTATCTTTGAGAACCAGGATTGAAACTGTGATCTATTTCACTGGACTTGAACGCCGGCAAACAGTGGAAGTGTTTTTAATTTATGATTGTGTTTATCTCCTTCCATGTGTTTTAATCGTGTAGGAATGCGATCGAGGAGCTGTGCATGTTCAAGCGGGTGGAGAGGCGACCCGTTTCCTGGCCCTGTCAGCTGACCATAGGCAGCTCTCTCTCCATCCGAATAGTTGGCTACAAAGCAGTAAGTTGACTGTTTGTTTTAAACTTTTTTTTAAAAGCATGTCTAGGGCTATCTCCAAGTTGTAAGCCAGCTTTTAGTTGTAGATCCTAATGTGGGGTCTTTTTGAGCACTCTGGTGTTAGCCATGCTTTTACCATCAGGG